GTCATTGCCAACAATATTTTTTAATGCAATAGCAGCTTTGACAACATCTTTAATTATTGACTTTGTAGAATTGTGCAAAACAACAACAATAAAAAACAGTGAACACTTCCTTATTTTAATAACCCTTACCTCTTATATATATTGAATTTCTGTTTGCAAAATGCAAATTAAAAATCTTAAAAGTATTTGTTTCTGATTTCTTTTAGAGAATTTCTCCGACTGGGGGATCCTTTGTGTTCATTGGCAACAGATACTTTTGAGAAAGTATATCCATTACGGCCACCACATCGTAAACCTGGTGGTCCTGTTCCGTTAACACGTGTTAAGACATTAGTCTCAATGACAACTCCCAGGGATTTCCGTTCCCTTGGAAGTTCAATGTTGCCACCATTTGTGGAGTTTGATATGGCTGCTGAAGGATTCAGCTGTTTATATTTGCCCAGTGTTGCTCCCCAGAGTCCTACAGGACCTAGTGTGGTAGCTGTGAGTACCCTAAGTGGAGGAACTGATTCAAGTGTTGTTGGTGGAATTGGTTCAGGTACGAAATTCATAGAAAATTTTTAAGAATAAAAATATTGCACACGTAGGATTTTAGATGAAAACATTTTAATTTTTGTGGAATGCTTTATTTTGGTATTTTTATACCATTAATCCTTGTATTTTACAGGCGATCGAATGTTTCCACCTCAGACAGGCCTCAGTTATTCGACATGGATATGTGTAGACAAATTTTCAGATCCTCGCACTGATCCTCATTGTGTTAGATTGCTAACATTAGTTCGAAATCTGCATGGTGGACGTGATGATCATTTAATTTGTTTGGCTGTGGTTTTGTCAGCTCGAGATAAAGCTATTATTGTTACGACTCAAGAAACTGTCATGCCTCACAGTAAGTTCAAAGTTTTGAAATAAAAGTCAAAGAAAAAGTATTTTCTAGATTAAGGATTGATGTAGTATTAACTTTCCAGAAATTATTTTATAGATTAGAGTAGTTAGTTAACTTAATTTCTCTCATTTTCTTCGGTGTGTTTGTATCTAATTGAAAATATTGATTTTGTAACTTTTCCAGTTCCGTTTATGTTATCCTAGGCTCATGTTGGATTCTCTAACAAAATATTGCTAAAGTGTACTTCCATTGACGAAAGCTTTTGCCAATCTAACAATTGTAAATTTCTAAAAGTCGTTTTGTCATGTATATAGCAATTGAGATCGACAACATAGCATATAATGTCAATATATTGTGTGACCATAGTTAATGTTGTGGGGAACAGATATATACAGTGGTGTCATCCAAAAAGAAATCTGCTTGACAATGTTCATTGTCAATTAGTGTTGCGTAGGCGTAAGGATGGTTAATATTAAATAGATTGAAGGGTGGTGCGAGCATTATCATGAAATGGCCATGTTTGTATCACCTTACAAGTGGTATCATAAGATGCAATTCCCCCTTGTGGGTATTTGATGTACATGCTTACAAAACCACATTTGTACACATGTTTGTGTTAGCATACACTATTTATTTTCTATTTGTAAACAATATTTCACAAAAATGACTTGCTAGTTAAATTTGTGTTTCAATGCTTATTTCCATAATTATCGTTATCAATAATATAT